GTGATGTTTCCAAACCACACAGACACAGAACCAACAAGTAAACTCTCAATGGTGCAGCGATAAAAGTTAAGCAGAATCTTAGAGTTAGTGGTAAATTCTCTAAGTTTACGCAGAAAGTAGAGACGCTGACGAGCTTTCTTAACGACTCGGTCAGTGTTTTTAACCCATTTCAGGTCATTAGACAGAGTTAAACCCAGAAACTTGCACTCCTCTACGATCTGCACCTGAGAGTTGTCGATTACGACAGGCAAATGAGAACTATTGCGACTGAAGTCGTAGACCAGTTCACATGTTTTGGATGCGTTCAACTGGAGGTTGTTAGTTTGACTCCACTGAACCACATTTTGTATCTCTGCTCTATAAGAGGATTCATCCTTGTTACTAATGAGACCGATGATGGTGGTGTCATCAGCATATTTGATGATCAAGTTTGAGTCAGAGGAGGACACACAATCGTGAGTGTACAAAGTAAAAAGCAAAGGACTCAGAATACATCCCTGAGGAGAACCAGTGCTCACAGAAACATCAGAAAAACAGTCGTTGATTTTTACTCTCTGAGATCTGTCAGTTAAAAAGCTAAAAATCAATTTACACATGGCAACACTTAAACCGAGAGACATGAGCTTTTCAATCAGTTTACCTGGGACAAGGCAGTTAAAAGCAGAGCTATAATCGATGAAAAGCATTCTCGCCACAGATTTACTAGTGTCCAAGTGACTGTAGACAGAGTTCAGAGCAAAGGAGATGGCATCCTCCACACTCCTGTTCCGTCTGTAAGCAAACTGGAGCGGGTCAACACTCACAGGGATCTGGCTCTTAATGAAGTCTACTTTGTAATCCGCTTTGTGGGTGAATGTAAACAGCACATAAAAATATCACTGAAAACTCACGGGGAAGATAAAAAGGGCGGCAGCTCAAGACCAGGCATTCCAGATTGGCAGTACATGTTTGGTTCACGATGCGAGTGTCCGTGCACCAGCGCTGATTAATTAAAAAGCACACACCTCCGCCTCTGGCCTTGCCCGTGGTCTCCTTCACTCTGTCCGCGCGGTGAGCGGTGAATCCCGGGGGCTGAACAGCAGAGTCCGGGACGTTCAAGTGGAGCCACGTCTCGCTGAGGCAGAACACAGCGCAGTCCCGGGCCTCGCGCTGGTTCTGGACCCGACACAGGAGCTTGTCCGTCTTGTTGGGAAGAGACTGGACGTTGGCCAGGTAGATGGAGGGCAAAGGGGTCCTGGAGGAGCGCTACGAACGAGCAGACCGCCTCGCCTTCCCCAGTGTCTGCGCCTCCTTCGCCGACTCGAGGTGCCCAGCTCCACACTGCGGAGAGAACGCCGGAGACGCCCAGTCCCCTCGCTCTGTTGGCGGCCACCGCCGCGGCCCGCCTGCCGTGCTCCACCAGCCTCTCGAGTGGGACACGGCAGAATGGAGTCCTCCAATCAGCATTGGCCACAGTGCCTGTAGCTTCAACCTCGAGATAACCAAAACATGCAGTGGAAAAGTACTGGCTTATACTGTATGTTAGAATGATGAGCTAGAACTTTAAACACAGTTGCTTCAAAGTGTCATGAAATACCTAACAAAGAAATACACATTGTTTCTGAAAACCTCAGCAGACCCCATGGGTCCTCATGTTGGAAGAAACGTCTCAGAGCTCCCTTGCCTAACCTCAGAGTGATATAACCGCAGACAGATCCACTCCCACAGACAGACAGACTGTTTCTGTCTAACTTTTGCACTGACTGCAAGGGCCTTATTCATGGACAATGTGCTGGAAAATTCCAACTGCGCTTTTTAAGGTTTTAAACAATCGGGAGCCACTATGGTTGGGGTCTATGGTTTATGAGCAAAGTGTTTACTTTGACTGGTACAATACATATATTAACGGACGTAGTCACGCCTATCTCCGCCGTTCTAACTAATGGGCCAAAAATTGGGCTTTCATGGAGTGATTCAAAATGGCCGCGGGGGCTGGAAAATGTGAAGAAAAAAAAAGCCTCCGCGCATGCGTCAGCCGGCGCGAGTCCCATTCATTTAAACGAGTCGGCCCGGGGTGGTATTGCAGCATGTCAGCGCATGTCATGTTGGCCACTTTTGAGCCGGACCGCTCCGACTGGTACAATATTAAGGGGTCTTGGAGGTGACAAAACATTGATGTATAATCTAAATTGTATCTAAATAGAGGAAGCCAGAGAAAGACTTTTTATTCCTGTTAATAACATTCAATAACCTTTAATAACATGTAATAACATGATAACCACACACAGTATTATATCCATCCATCCATTTTCTACCCTTTTAATCCATTTCTGGGTCAGGGGGGTGGCAATCAGAGATGCCACCCAAGTCTCATAGCACCAGCCCACAGTATTATATTGGCTCAACAAAAATATCAAAACAGCAACTGAAGTCATTTGAACGGTTCTGAAATTATTCGGTTAAATTTGATATGCCACTTCATTACTGGTGGTACATAATTACTCAAAGGTAGTTTGGACATGGCGTGCATCTTTTCATTTGGGGGAATCTCAAAGTCGTCTAATTTGCTGCCAGGTTTAGAGATCGGGGAGATGAGATGATGAGGAGACGCGCACCACGTATAGGCTGCTTATCACACGTATAGGACGCACTTGTCTTCAGTGATGCATTGCCTCCTGGTCTTCAGCTGCAGCGCTAAAATTGAAAGAGTTCCTCCGTCTCTTGCGTTTATCAGTGCCCGTGCGTGTGCGCGTGGGGTGGTGCGCATCCAGTGCGCGTGCGTGTCACGGTGAGAAGTGTCATTATGTAACATGTTCCACAGTGGTCCCATCCGCGCAGAGTGAGAGACTGTCGGGACGCCTCCTCCTCCACTGCTCCTCCTCCGTTCCTTCTCCGCTCCTCTGCTCCTCCTCAGCTCCTCATCTCTGCACCTGATGAAGATCTGTGAGAACAAAGTGAAAGAGAAGAGACCACAGCATCACACTCCGGTAAGAAACTGCGTCTGTGCCCAAAGTGAAAGTCTGTCCGTGTTGTCTTTGTGCCTCCTTATACTTTTTTGCGATCTTTGAGCAGCCTTTCCGTTATGCCAATATTTCCCATCACTGCCTTTTTCCAACGCACAGTCGCCATAACCATGCCTTTTTTTTAAATAGATATTTATTTTTACACGTAGACAAATGTGATTTTACTTCTAGACAGAGGCTGCAGCATTTGGGATTCGCCCCAAGTTATATATGCACCTGCCTGCACGAGTAACCGGTAAAAGACTTCACCACAATGTCTGGTATAGACAAAAAACTTAAATACATAAATTTTTATTATTCTATTTTTTTCTGAAAAGGTTTTTGTATTTCACATTTTGTTTTGCAACTTGCATCATTTAGTTTATCCAAAACACCAAGAAGTCTGCAGTTTTTTATTGTATCATGTTATAATTTACATAACCTTTTATACAAAACGGTTGTGTTAAATTCTGATGCTTAGTGAAAATGTTTGAGGATCAGCACAGCACTATTCTTTGATATCGTCTGTGTTTCAAGTGTTTTTCAAAGGATGCGGAGGAAAATTTCCCCTCATGGACCAAACAGAATAAATTGCAGCTGTCAAAAAGGGAGCAAACATTTGTAGATGATTGTGCGAGCGAGCAGACGTTATTGCAGATATTGTGATGGAAATGTAAATCAGCGTTTCATTACAACAAAGTCAAGATGAGGGCGGCTTGAGGTGTCAGCAGAGCAAGAAAGTCCCAAAGTGATCCATGTGCGCTGGTGTAATCATTGTGTTTAACACCCTTTAAGTGTAAAGAGAGTGTTGTTCTGCTGGTTACAAAGGTCAAATTGGACCAGCGAGACCTGCTCCGCTCCATTGACTACGAGCAGAGAAGGGAAATGTCAAAATGTGTCCCCAGGCAAGATAATCAATTTATTATTCATGTATGGCTTTGGAGGAAATGGTTTAACGATGAAATGAGTTTATTCAAACAGTAGCAGTTTTACCACATTCCAATAATGAAAGACACATGGAATACATGTTTTAATCAATATAAATGTGGTTATAGATTTAGACAAGCAAAACAGAATAGACTACAGCGTATGTACGTCGAGGAGAGCATGAGTGTCAAAAGATGGATTTCAAACACTTTTCATTTACTCAATGCTTGCTAAATCAATCTAGTTCATCTCTTTATTGATCTATTCATCTTTTAATTGTTTCATTTCCGTTAGTAAATAAACAATCGAAAGTCCTGTGAGACAACAGATGGCGTGATTGTCACTAATCAACACGATGCAAGTTGATAATTGGGAGGTTTTTTTTTATCTTGAGAATGCATCATGGGAGGGCAGATGTTTGCAGTGGAGTAACGGGCCAATCGTATGGCAGCAGTGTGGTTTGGGGCTTTGCCTACTTGACGTGCCACTGCGGCTCTAAATATACATTCTTGGTGAGACCCCATTCAACCGCAAATGAATGCAACAGAAGAAAAAAGACTTGTTTTCCCCACGTGGACTGGTTACATCATTGTTATTCGTTGCTGAAAACAGTTACAATCTTATTATAGGAGCATTGATGCTTTGCCCAATTAGCTTGAATTAATTTACATCTCGCCCCGAACGGTTTCCTCGGGAGCCAGTCCAGATGAACATGTAGTAGAACTCACACCTCTGCGGGCTGCCTCTGCTGTGATCCAAGTTACTGATTTGATGCTTTTGAGGTGTTTTAGCAACAAGGCATACTAGATTAATGTTTCTTTTTTTTTATATAGAAATTTCCTGCAAATCAATAATATCACAATTGAGAAATGGAGGAGGTGGACCTTTGAATATGACGTCTCAGTAAACCTGTTTGTATCTCTCATGTTCAAACTGTAAATGTTTTGTTTTGTTTTAGGAGGCCCTGAAGGAATGACATCCGTGGATAAATGAAAGCTTCAACAGCTTATGAGAAACAATTTTGTGAAGCAATTACAAGAACTGTGACACAACAAATCGGTTTAATTAGAGTCTGTCTTTTGAAGCACAAACATGGAGCTGCAGTACAACTCCTTCTACAACCACGCTCTGTGGAAAGACCTGGCCTTCACCGAGGACTGCTCCCTGTCCGTCAGCAGCACCACCTTCCTCATCATCGCCTACAGTATGGTGCTGGCCGTGGGACTCATCGGAAACTGTAGCCTTGTTTACGTCATCACACGGCACAAGGAGATGCGTAACGTGACCAACATCCTCATCGCCAACCTCTCCTGCTCCGACATTCTCATGTGTATCTTCTGCCTGCCTGTTACAATCATATACACATTAATGGACCATTGGATTTTAGGAAACGCCATGTGCAAGCTCACCCCTTTCATTCAATGCATTTCAGTCTCCGTGTCCATCTTCTCTCTCGTTCTCATTGCGATGGAGCGCTACCAGCTCATAGTCAACCCCACCGGTTGGAAGCCCACGGTCTTCCAGTCCTACGTGGCTGTGGGGGGCACTTGGGTGGTTGCCTGTCTGATTTCTGTGCCCTTTTTGACCTATCACGTCTTGACATTGCCATTCCAGAACCTAACCATTCCTCTTCCGCTCGGCGACCAGCTTGTTTGTATGGAAAAGTGGCCCTCAATCGCGATGAGACGAGCCTACACCACCTCCTTAGTTGTTTTTCAGTACTTCCTTCCTATTGTCCTAATAATCATCTGCTATCTACACATCTACTTACGCTTGAGGAGGAGAAAGGAGATGGTGGAGCGGAGCGGCAACAATACGCACAAGCGAAACAAAGGCGCAACGCGGATTAACATCATGCTGACGGCGATAGTGGTGGCGTTTGCGCTGTCCTGGTTGCCTCTCAATATCTTCAACACGGTTTTTGATTGGGACTACGAGGCTCTGCCCACTTGTAGCCATGACATGATCTTCTCTTTCTGCCATCTCGCGGCCATGGCATCGACCTGCGTCAACCCGATCATCTACGGCTTCCTCAACAGCAACTTCCAAAAGCAGCTCAAGGCCACCATATTGAGATGCCGCTGTTGGGCTGTGACCGAGACATACGAGAACGTCCCACTTTCCACAGTCAGCACGGAGGTCACCAAGGCTTCCATGTTGAGCAATGGGTCCATCAGCCCCAATACCTAAAACATGTTCTTTCTCATGTTTTTGGGGCCTATTTCGCGGCAGTAGCTAAAAAATATTCTTTCTCAAGTAAAAAAAGAAGTATGTTTTTCGCGGACTCTTTCGCGGAAATACCTAAAACATACTCTTTCTCAAGTTAAAAAGAAGAATGTTTTTCGGGGACTCTTTTGCGCCAATACCTAAAACATATTCTTTCTCAAGTGAAAAAGTTTTTGGGGACTTTATTCTATCGTTCAAAGCTTTTCTTGCTCGGCTGCGTGCAATAGCAGGAGTGTGACATTTCAAAAGTTATGAAGCTCACAGTTTGCGGTCCGGTGGGAGCGGGCTGGGGACACTTAACTGCTGGCCTCTATTTCAGTTGAGGCGAAACATAACAGAATGATGGTCAAAGAGGCGCATTGGGGTCAACAACGACATTTAACCAGTCTGCTGAAGTATAGCCTGCCCCAAGAGAACGACGTTTGCAATCCGTCTATATTCAGTCCAATGACTATGTGGGAGGCCAAGGGTGACGCTGGTTTGTGCTTAATTTCTCCAAGATGTTTTCTCTGATGAAAATGTTAATGAATGGCAGACGATGATGTGTTAACGATTATTGGTGGGTTGGTGCACAATTCTTGGCGAGTACATTAGAGCCGTAATGGGGCCCCAGGCGTTCATCCAGGCGATTTATTTGCTTCATCAGATGCTGTTGTTATTCCTGAAAACTACCATGAACTGTAATGTTTTCTTAATGAACATCTGCAAGCCAGTGTATTCAACTGCTTTCAACCATACAGTATATACATCAATATGTAGAGTAATGTGCCATGTGCCTGTAGTTTTTTCTCATAAAGATGTGACTACCATAAATGAAAAAGTGCCATAAAAGTTGTGTCAGTATAAAGGCTTCTTACGCTGTATATGATCATATGAATTTGTACATATTGGAGACATGTTTAACGGTCATAAATCTGCGGCAATAAAAAGCAGTGTGTAGCATAGAAGAGTTGAGGAAATGTTGTCACTTTTATTGTTGTTACAAATTAAACTTTTATTACATCTTTGTGAAGAAGTGTGGGATCTGCTTTGTTTTGACACTTGTCTAATACACTCTAATAATTACGAATGTACTCAACTAAACTATACTAATACTAGAAAATAAAATAAAACTAGGGCTGTCAAAATTATCGCGTTAACGCACGTTAATTAATTTTTTTCATTAATCGCGTTAAAAAAATTAACGCATTTGACGCATGCCCATGCGTCCCATAATAACACTCAGAATGCCGTGGACACATGCGTGTGTAAGATGGAGACAGAGCAGGTAGACCCTCTGGGAATACACGCGTGACCGCGGGCGCGGGGCACTTGTAGGTTCCTGTATGTACTCTGCATGATGAGCTGCGGCCGCGACAGCGCTCTGGACAGCAGTTCCCACTTCCAGCGGCTGTGATCACGGCGAACGGCGCTGCGTAATGGGATCACGCACAGAATTAATAGTTACCTAATGTAACTTAACTTCGCTAGTGGGATATCACTCGTGACCCCCAGGTCACACGCCAGAGAGATCAAAATAATTTGCTCCAATCACCAGCGACCCTCCTCTATAAAGGCCCCTGCACAAGGCCGCACCCTCTCTTGAACTCTGCCAAGCCGGGCTGGCCTGATGGGCTTGTAGCTAAGGGACTACGCACCTATTCGTAGAACTTAAGTTACATTAGGTAACTATTAATTCTACGTCATGGTGCTACGTCCCTTAGGACTTCGCTAGTGGGACACAACGCGGAGGCCGTAGGAACATGTACTCCCAGCAGGCCAGCGAAGGGTGATTGGAGCTCCGCCCGAGCAAGACCCTCACACAGTGAGAGGACTCAGGGCAGAAGAAGCAATTGCGTGTTACAGGGCCACTCCTCCCAAGGATACCCCCAAGTAACACAGACCGAAGGTCACCCGTAGTCCCAGGACGCCTCTCCCAAGAGCTCCTGACGTGGACTACCTGACTGACCAAAAGCACACACATACCGCACCTGCAGGACGCCTCTCCCAAGAGCTCCTGAACCAGGGCGGAAAGTCAACCGAAGGCCCCCTCAGAGGAGGGACCTAACGGTCTCAGCTCAGTCCGCTGCACTCAGCACGGAATGGGCCACCGACCGGTCCGACACATCCAAAAGATAAGACCGGACGAAAGAAGAGGACGACGCCCAAGAAGCCGCACGGCAGACGTCCTCGACCGACGCCCCCCTGAGGAGGGCCGTAGAGGCCGCCATCCCACGTGTGGAATGCGACCTGAAGCCCACCGGGGGGGCCAGACCCTGCGCCTGATACGCCCGCCGCACCGCCGTGGCGACCCAGTGCGCCAGCCGCTGAGCCGACAGCGGGGCACCCCTGTTCTTGGGGCCCAGACACACAAACAGCTGATCACCCAACCTGAATGACGACGTCATGGCCAGGTAATGCCTAAGCATTCTGACAGGACACAGAAGGTGCCGCCGCTCCTCCTTGGGGGAGGCATGCGGTGGCGGATAGAATGCCCTAATCCTGATCACTCTCGACCTAAAGGCCGACGTGATGACCTTGGGGAGAAAAGCCGGATTGGGCCACAATTCCACCATGCCGTCGCCCTCTCCAAAGGACAGGCAAGACGCATGGACGGAGAGCGCACACAAGTCGCCCGCCCTCTTAGCAGACGCCAACGCCAGCAAGAGGGCCGTCTTAAAAGCGACACACTGGGGACTCGCCTCCGCCGCCGGTTCAAAAGGCGGACCCGACAGCCCCCTAAGGACCACCCTGAGGTCCCAAACCGGGGGAGTTCACTGGAGCGGGGGCCTCCTCCTGCGCGCCCCCCGCAGAAAACGTTTAACTAACGGATGAGAGCGGGCTGTGAACCCCCCGAATCCGTCGTGACCCGAGGTAATGGCTGCCGCGAACACCGCCAAGGTGGCGACAGCCCTCCTTTTGTCAAAAAGCTCCTGTAGGAATCCCAGGACCACCTCCAGCGGGCAACGCCTGGGATCCCAGGAGCGAGAACCGCACCAGACGCTGAAGAGCCTCCACCTCGTGGCGTAGGCCCTCACAGTGGACGGCGCCCTTGCCCCCTGAATGGTCTCCACCACCGCCGGGGGAAGACCCAGGTCTACGAGGTTCCGCCTCTCAGCCTCCAAACCCAGAGCCTGCTGCCGATTATCGGGCATGAAAACAGGGCTCCCCCCCCTGGACTAGAGCCCCCGGCTCGTCTGGGAGGGCCCAGGGCTCCATCACCGCCATGCCCCTCAGGAAGGGGAACCACCGGGCATGCGGACTGTCCGGAGCCACCAGGATTACCGACCTCCTCTCCTGTTCGATCCTCCGCAGCAGGACCGGCAGGAGACGCACTGGTGGGAAAGCATACAGCAGGCCCTCTGGCCAGGGGTAATGAGCCAGAGCGTCCACGCCTAAGGGCGGCTCGTCCGCGGCCCTTAAGGCGAACCAGGACGGGCACTGTGCGTTCTCTGCACTGGTGAAAAGGTCGACCACTGGACGGCCGAACCTCCGCCAGATCTCCGCAGCTACCCGTGGGGCCAGGCCCCACTCGTCCTGGCCTTTATAGAGGAGGGTTGCTGGTGATTGGAGCAAATTATTTTGATCTCTCTCCCACTAGCGAAGTCCTAAGGGACGTAGCACCATGACGTAGAACTATTACAAACTATTCTCTAGTGTGCGTAGGTGTCTTTGTGTAACCGATGCACACAATATGTACAGCGCTGAAGCTGGACTGCGGAGCCTCAGTCTCCTCCGTGTCTTCTCCCGAAGCGCACTCGCTAAATTAAAGCTGAGGTACCTAATTTTCCTTTCGACTACCAGTTCATGTTAGTTGTGCCAAAAAAGTAATGGTGTGAGCAAATCAAACAGATTTAATGACATTCTGCATTTCAGACTATTTTGAAATGTCCCTCATCTGTAACAAACAATGGTTTTGGTCTAAACAGAAAGACAGAATGTTAATAATGTTAATGCCATTTTATATGGTCATTTATCTTTCCATTCAAACAACAGTTTACTGAAAAATATGGCATAATGTTGCCAATAGTTTGAAATGCAATTAATTACTTACTATTAATTTTTAAGCTGTAATTAACTCGATTAAAAAAATTAATCGTTTGACAGCCCTAAATAAAACATTCACAAACTATGGAAATCACTGAAACTTAGATATAGCCTTGTTTACTCTACTCTACCCTGATTGGATCCTGGTACTTTTAACTTGCTTGGTCCTGGTTCTATTCAGGCCAAGTGCCAGTGAATGGCTGGAGTGCTGTTGGAAGCCATGGTTACCAAGGAATTTCCATGAATACTGACTTGTTGTAGGTAGGTTGCGAGGATGTGGTACCAAAGTTTAAGTGTTATGAAAACATCTAGGTAGAGTAGAGCCGAGTAGAGTAGAGGAAAGTAGGGCTGGGGGAGACGAGGGTGATGATAATACTTATGTGGCATAAGTAGCGGACATATATAACCAGCAACGCCAGGGCCTATGATACCCAAAAATGTCCTTAATTGGTTCTCTGATCTAAGGCACACAGGTAAGTTTAAATTGACTGGACAGAGGCAGAAGTTCAACAATACTCGTTTAGTTTTTAATAGAGCAGCTTTGGTTCAAAAAAAAAGGTTCTGTTCAGGTTTCTTGATTCCACAGGGCGCACGTCTGCGCACTGACCACAGTCTCTCGATCATTGTCGATAGTTAAGCAGCATAGTCTTTAAAAACAGATAGTGACTCATCTGCAGTCTTTCTCCAAACAAGAAGGGGAGCCGGGCACGCCGACAGCACCCTACAACACTAAACATTGACACTGAAATAAAACAACATTTACTACATTGAAACATAAGACATACACAAGATTAAAACAAAACATACCGGAAAGCAAAGCGTAGCGCTCCCCGCACCATACCGAGACCCCGAGCCTCTGACCATGCTCAGCTATGCGGTAGCCAGGCCAACGTACACAATGTTAAAAACAATAGTTATGTTTAGTGACGCAGCCGACC